TGTATATTCACAACATATGGTCGATTAATGAAAATGTAAACATACCAAAGAAAAAGAAAATTTGGTAAATTTTACATTTTTTGTTAGAAATATATAAATTTATAACACACGAATATTAAAAAATATTTGTAATTAGATTTATTTTAATTTTATTAAGCATAAATTAGTTTATAAAAGAGTTTGTTTGTTGTGAAAAATCATAACAAATATTGTCAATCCAGCGTTTTTAAATCAAGTTAGTGTGTCTGTCTGTTTAGAGCGGGTTTTTGAGTTGGCAATCAAATGTCAATTAATAATCAGATTAGTTAATCAAATCATAAATTTAATCTGATGTTAATCCTTTTTAATGTTTTTGAGTACAAGATTAAACTTCGCAGTGTTACCGTACAAAACAACAGAAAATGTCACTGTTTGTTATCAAAACAATGCATGTTTTATAAAAAAGAAGAAGACAATTGTAAATTTAATATGAAAATTAATGAAAACTTAAATTTAAAACGAAAAAAATGTATTTTGGGTGTGCATAATTTATACTGATCAGTAAATAGAACATTTTAATGTTTATATTTATAAAAACTGTATTAATTTTTTTTGTATCAGCTGTTTACACTTTTGCATTTCATGCTTAAGTTTTAACCACCTCCATTGGTCGCTTACACTTGCAAACAAAATTAACTAATTTAGTACTCAAAGACAACTTTCGAGGATTAATTTTAATTTAATCGCTAATCTTTCAGATTGGCCCTTAGTGATTTTGTGTAAATTTTAAAAATATGTTTGTAACATGAAGTTTAAAAACAATAATATATTATTAATTATATTACATGTTTTGTTAACTTAAAATATACATTTATTTATAAGAAAAATCATTGGCGTTCGCGTTCTTTTTAGGATATTTTTTTAATTGAGAGCAAATTAAAAATTACTCTCTATCATAAAGTTACTGGTTATTTGTAACTGGAAAGTACGCGAACACACCTAATGTGTACACTCTTCAAACTATTTTCCAAAAGTGACATAAACATAATAACCAAGAAGATACAAATTCGAAAACAATTGTCCAATTCACAATCGATGTCGTATCGTTGTAGCGTTGTATGTCATAAAAATTTTTCAAATAAAATTTTTTGAAACAAAAACAAATCAATAATAAAAAAATTACGACATACTACGATACAACCGTACAACACCGATTGTGAATTGGACAAATGTATTTTGTTATTGTAAAATGTGTGCTCTCTTCTAAATATCATTTAGATGAAAAAATGCAATAGGCCTCAAATTAAAACCACAATACATATTCTTAATTTTTTTCTTGCTTCGGATACTTAGATATGTTAGCTTTAGTTTTATTCCTTTCAATCTTCCCTAAGTCATCCTCATGTACATATTTGTTTAACTTTTCCGCACTGACCAAAAACGGCGATACCGCACCATCCATGGGGTAAATGCGCCAAGGGGATGGGGCAGATTTGTCATTAGTAAAATAAAAGAAAAAATTACAAAAATAAAAACTTATTTTGCTGTTTTATACTTTAAGTCATTAAACAAAGTATAATAAAGCAGATATTTATTGTTTATTTCATAAAAAATAACAAAAAAATTAAAACAAATTATTATTAATTTTAATTTTTTTCGGGCTTCAAATTAATATTATCGAAAATATTATTATGTCTATTATTGACGTTCTAATACTGACCAATATATTTTTTCTATCACAAAAACTAAAAATGTTAGCACAAAAAGTTCACACAGTAAAATATTTTCACAGCCCTTTGAAAAACAATTTATCACGTCTGCCTCCCATCATATGTAAAGTTAATGTTTCAAATTTTCAGGGATGATAGATAATCGATAAACGAAAACAAAATTTGATAATGCGATAAAATCGATTACTCAGTTTTCAAGTTATTCGCTATTGGCAGATGTGCCCCTATGGCGTATGATTCTGTTGTTTTGTATGGCAACACTGCGATGTTTAATCATGTACTCAAAAACATCAAAGGGGATTAACATAAGATTAAATTTATTTCTAGATTAACTAATCTGATTATTAATTGGCATTTGATTACCATCTCAAAAACCCGCTCTAAATGCTTGAAGGGTAATCGAGCAGGGTGCACTCATAAGGTGAAGTCAATTCAACAGCTGATCACTCATTTTTTTATTTGAGGTAGATGCAACTGTCAAAGTACACCATTTAGAGTTGCCACAATCCGAAAAAATATGTCATCTATCTAGGGATTCATTATATTTTTAGGACAAAAAATTAATAAATAAATTTTATATTAATTTTAATCCGTAGTAAATTTATGCGAAATACTCAAAAATTGCACAAACTATTTTTGTTAAATATCTATTTTTTCAATTATAGGGAACATTTTACTAATCAATTGAGAGAACAAACATCCCACTATTGTAAATAAAATTATTAAAACTTGATTTTATCATAGATATCTTAATTTTTAACAACTTTCCATGGCAGTGGTTTGGTCACATTTCTATAAAAATCATTATATATTTCTTATACGACAATAGTAGAGACCTACACCTACAATATTGACTGATAAAAAATAATATGTATATAATTTGTATTTTTGCCACTACATACTTACAATTTTGTAATTTAATATTAATTTTTTGTTATTTTAATTGATAATTTATTTACTTTTTTAATAAGGAAATAATAAATAATATTATTCACAAACAACATTTTTATTTTATTAAAGGTTTATAAAACAAAATACAAAGAGTGTGTGCCAATCGGTAACAATTTACTTGAAAATGTAAATTTTTGATAGATATGATTTGAATAAAATTTTACTAGCTCATAGAGCTACATAAATTTTTGACAAATGAAAAGAATAATTTGAAAATCCAAAAAAAAAAAAAAAATATATATAATTTAACTTATAATACATTCGTGATTGTAGAAAATCATTTTAACAACAAAAAATCAATAAAAGTGTTTCTTTTATTAAAATAAATGAAGATTTTCTTGTGAAATTGGTGACAATTGTCAAAATTTCATGTAATCAAAAAATATTTCGTTTGGCACAGCAAAAGTGATAATAATTTTGCTACCGTTTGGCACACAGCCAAAATACCGTTTATAAAATAAAAATTTTGTTTGTAAATAAGGTTGCTTACCCTTATTTTTCAATTCATGTATAGTTTTTAATAAATTTTATCTTATAATACATATTTACTTTACGTGAAGAGATTTTTGGGCATGTGGGTTTGTCTTTTTGTAAGGTAAATTAAAAAAAAAAAAAAACGGTGGCAACATGTACATTTTTTGACAGAAGTATCTACTTTTGTTGTTTTTGTAGAATTGACTTCACCTTATAAGTGCACCCTGGTAAGCGAGTTTAAAAAACAATAACATGTAAATAAATATCGCTTATGAAGCGAATACAGAAACAAAAATTACAATTTCTCTCGCGTGTTAAAGAAATGCCCGTCTGTCAACCAAATGATGGACAAAATCATTTGATTTGGCTTTTTCAAAGTTTGTTGGTTAAATATAATGCCATAAAGTAATTAACCATGTAAATTATATTGATTAGTGTTATACTAATGCAAAATATATTCGCCGGCATTAAAATTAGTCAAATATCAAAGAAATTTATCAATATTTGCAAAAATTTATCAAAAATTACAAGGAAAATAAGTAAAAATAAGAAAATGTGTCATAGTGATGTATATTTTGTCGCAAAATTTCCGTTATTCGGATACTTTTAATAATAATTAGAAATTATATGTTATATTTATACATCTGAACTAAATAGACATTTATTAAAGCCATATATATATTTATTTTTCTTAAAAGTTTGTTTTTATGGTCAAAAATCTATTATAAACAAAAATATGAAATTAAGAAAACCGAATCAACGAATATTTTATCCTAATTGTACGCAACACTAACACATAAAATGACAGCCATATTGTACAGTGCTGCCAACTTAAACATAAATCAGCACAATAGTTAATATACGTTTATTATTTGTTTATGAATATCACAATTTTATTAATGGTTTTTAAGGCTAAAGTGTGCTTTAACTATTGAGTGCATTAAAAGCAAAATAAGATTTTTTTATAAATACAAGCGTAAATCTCGAGATTTTGAATTGTACAACGAGCGAAATAAATAAAATAGAGATCGCGTGCGATATTTTTACCTACACTGAATATACAAAAAGACTTACACAAAAACAAAATTTTAAATTTATTTGTTGTTTTCAATATATTTGTCAGAATAAAAATGTTCTTTCGCATTTAGAGTAACCGGCAGTTATTTTTTTTAAAAGTAATAGTTTGGAAGTCAAATAGTTTTACAAAATTAATTTCACCTTTAAAAACAAAAAAAGTTATATGAAATTTTCAGAGGTTGTCTTGGATTTTTGCTCATATCCGTATTTATGCACGGATTTTGCTGATTTTAAATAGGAATCTTCTCGATAGCATGTCTAACAGAATTATTGATGATTTGGATCCCGAAGATATCAGGGGTCTTCTGACCTGATTTAAACAGACAGACAGACGGACATTGCTTCATCGACTCCGTTACCTATAAGGATCCAAAATATACATACATACTTTATAGGGTCGGAAAATTATATTGTGAAAATTGCAAACGGAATGACAAACTTATATATCTACATACATATACCCTTCTTATGAAGGTGAAGGATATATTAATGCAATAATATTTTAATAATATCGCTCGAAAATAACTAATGATATACAAAAATAGTCTTCAACTAAAATGTAAGAAACTAATTGTCAACAAAATTTATAATAGCATTTGAGTGTTTGATGCAACATGCACCGCCAACCTAACTACAATCCCAAAAAATGTTTGTGTGTAAATTTCCATAAGGTAAATTTAACAAACAGCTCGTTAGTTAGCTTCTACTTTTTATTATGATTAAGTCCAAAATGTAATTAAGAATTAAAATGTTATGAAAATTAATAATTTCACTTTTTATTTTTATTAGGTTTACGCCAGTCGCCAGGCATTAAAAGAAGATCAGATATATCATCTCCTGTTTATAACAGAAACACTTATAGTCCAGTTCATAAAAGAAAAAGATTGTCACCGTTGACGAAAAAGATACGAGGCGAAAAGGGAAAAATTAGGCGTAGACATTCATCAAGTTCTTCTGATTCAGGTAAAGCATAATATTGATATTTAAAAATTTTTCAAATGTATTTATGATATAAAACAATAGATTCTACAGCTTCTGACTCAGATTCAGACTCTGGATCTTCATCATCCGAAAGTTCGTCGCAATCAAGAGAACATACTCCTCCTAAACGATTACGAATTTCTGACCGATTATCAACTAATGAAAGAAAGGGACTCAAAAAAGGTAATTCGAAAATTTATTTACAAATATTTATTACCTACTTAGAACTAATATTTTTGTAGATTTGCCGAAAAAGAGGTCTCCAATTTCAATTGAGTTGAAAAAACCGACTACAGTTGGAGTTTCTGCATTAACTTCTCCTACTCAAGGAACAACAAGCGAAAAGGATTCAAAAAAATCACGACGAGAGGAACTTCTAAAACAGTTGAGAGCGGTTGAGGATGCAATTGCAAAGAAACGTTCAAAACTTGCATAATTTAAATGGTTAGAAGACATCAACTTAATAGTTGCAAAAAGATGAACTAAATTTTACTTTAATTATTTTCAAATTAAAGCTGCATTGACAAAATTATTAAACAAATATATTAAACATAATATACTAAAACCGCTAAAAGTTTTTCACTTTAAAAATGAAATGTCTGCGGTAGGTTTAGGTTTAGGTAAGAAGGGTTTAGTTGGTAAGGGTAATACCAGTGAAGGCATCGATCTCATTCTCCCCTCCCATCGCACCGTTTCTGGCAAGTTCGTCGGCAATACATTTTCCCAAATGTTCAGGGACCTAAATATATTAGCGTTATCCTAGCTATCTCATAAGAGATACCCGTCATTCTTTGGTTAACCTTGATGTCGTAAAGACACCCGCTAGGTTTTTGATTGCAGCTTTGCTGTCCGTATATATTAGGGTGATCGATTATTCGACATTTTTCAAAAACCGGTTGATATTTTTCAAATTCAGAAAAAACCGGTTAACCGGTTTTTCATAATAAATAAAAAATATATGTTAATTTGAAGAAATTAATGTTTATGTTTAAATTTGATTAATAAAACATGGCCCGAAATGATTATTAACAGTTTAACAGATTATAACTCTAGATATAGTCGTTTGATTTACATTATTTCTTTAATATAAAAAAAATTAGGAAAAAAGTGGACACTTCTGTTAAATATAAGGTACTATGTAATCCTAGCTTATTCTAAAGCCCTTTTAGGAAATTTTCATAGGCATACCAACACTTCCATAATATTGCAGCGGTAAATTAATTATTGTAATTGGAATATAATCTTAAGATTAATAAAATTTTATTAAACAGTTATCAATTTTACAAATAAAATGTTTTAATTAGTTAGGAAAATCAAAAAAGTTTAACCAATGGTGCTTTAGAAAAATGTATCCTAGTTCCTGGACTCGAATATTTTTAAAATTTAAACGGGCTGTATTATTTACTTCAAAATTTCATTTAAATAATCTTTGAATACAAAGCAAATAAAAGTATTCGAAACCGGTTTTTAAAAAGTGAAAAAACCGGGTTATTCGATATTCGAAAAATCAACATTTAGAAAAAACCGATACTGGTAAAGCAGAAAAAACCGGTTGAAAAATCGAGTCGATCACCCTAGTATATACGTATATCCTCCGATATTCGGTAATACCTAAGCTAATTTACCGCTCGTTTTATAGCAGATATCTCTGCCTGTAGAATGCTGCAATAGTTTGATAGTCTGAAGGAAGATTTGATTCCAAATCTTTCAATGTAGAAGCCTCCACCCACCCTACCGTTCTTTTGGAGACATTGGTTACATCATTGGGTGAGTGGGTCTCAGATATTGAGTTTCTCTCCGGAATCAGAATGGAGAAGCGTTTATCGAAGTGAGGTTTCGTAACGCAGTAGTGTTATGTACTAAAATCGCTTATTAAAAAAACACATTGGCCCCATTTAATTATTGATGTCGTAGCGTAAGCTTTATACTTCGCGTTACTATAAGAAACACGTTTTTGTAAAAGTATTATTGAATTTAGGAATTAATAAATGAAATTAAATTATTAAAATAATTGTTTAATTCCACACATATGTAAGAGACATAAAAGTGGTGTCAGAAGTGATTTTCAAAATGCCGCTGGACCAAGACGAAACAAAAGAAATCACGTTAATGTTTGCCGATGCCTTACGGCAGGCAGTCTCACGGGCTACACAGTCAGCTGTCTCGGCTATAACACAAATGCAACAACCTCGAGTTGGAAACACAGACTCGACAGATATATTACCAAAACCCCCGCCTTTCAATATTGGTGAATACAACCAAACAGAAACGTCATCAGTTGAGAGTTACTTCGTTTTGACTTGGCACTTAACCTCAGTAAAATACCAAACAGCGACCACCATAGGTACGATTGTGTTCATATGGGTTTGCCCCTAAATGAAGCTTTAAAATGTCTTATTCATCCTAAGTAACCTGAAACTTGTACCTATGAGGAAATTATGAAAATTTTAATTTTGCATTTCGCTTGAAGCAAGCTGCTGTACATTATGAGTACGGAGAGTTTATAGACCGTATGTTCATCGAACAATTAATATATGGTATAGTGTCTCGATTATCTTGTGATGAAATTATTAAAAAAAACTCCGGTACATTTAAGGAGGAACATGAAATCGCACACACACTAGAAGCAACTCACCAAACAAACAAACGAATAACTTAGGTTATACACCGGTAGAAGTAAAGAAAAAAACGTCTAATACAAATTTTACCCGCAACCAACATAAATTTGGAAATACTAAGGAGTGTCCCGGATGAGGAGGAAAACACCTGCGAAAACAATGTAAATTTCGTGACTAGGTGTTTTGCTTGCGTAAAAAAGACCATATTTCAAAAGCCTGCATATTGAAAAATAATCAGATTATAGAAGAGCCACTGGACAGTGAGTGCGATTCCGTGGATGATCACAACGTTATAAATGTAGTAAAATCTAAAAACACAAAGCAGAAAATGGTTGACACGTTCATAAACGGAATCGAAATAAAAATGGAGTTGGATACAGGTGCGCCTTGTGAGATCATTGGAAAAACACAATGTGATCCGAGAAACAACGACAATTTTCCAGTTACACGGGACATCCTTTCCCTTGTTGGGGTCGAATACCTGTATTAGTGAAATTGGGTCAAACAGTACGTAAACTTAACCTGTATGTAATGGATAGGGAGTTTGGCCCCTTTTACAACTCGATAAAAATGTCATCACCCGCACTGAGTGCCGACCAACAGCAAAAGTTGCAAGAAGTGTTATTAAAATATCAGGGGCCAAATCACGGCATACGATATCGATCGAAATCTCAATAGAATTATTTCTTGGAAAGGCTTGTTACTACAGGTCATTTATTTCAAACTTGTCTACGCGTAATAAGCCCCTAGGGAAATACTTAAGAGGGAGCCATTTGAATGGACTCCTCAAGGCGACAAGGCATATATGAATGTTGAAAATGCTCTAATTTCGTCAGAGGTACTAATGGCATACAATCCAAATCTGCCTTTGCTGCTAGCCACGGATGCAAGCAAAGAACGGCCTGGAAAGGCCTATAGCGTACGCAAGCCGCGCTCTAACAACAACAGAACAAAAGTATCCGCATATGGATCGTGAATCGTTGGCCATAGTATAGGCGGTGCAAAAGTTCTAGACTCTCATAACCGACCACAAACCACTAGAACAAATCCTCCACCCTCACAAGTCATTGCCAATATTAGGAATCGGAATCAGTCGAATGGCAAATTATGCAAACTTCTTGGCGAATCTCGATGTAATCTACAAGCCAGCAAAAGCCAATACTAATGCCGACTTCTGTTCTCGTGCCTTAAAAGCAAATCCCATAAATGAACTTAATTTTTCGATTGATACAGATTTTTGGATTCATGATGAATTTGACATGTTCATGGTTAAGCAAATACCACAACTTCCGATTACATCGAGGAAAATTGCTAAGGATACTATAATCGACAGTCATCTAGGCACAATTGTAAAACACTTAGAGGCGGGTAAAAATCTCCAAAAATTGGGTTATAAGTCACCAGAAACTAATTACAAGCTCATGGATGGATGCTTATTATTCGAACACCGCGTAGTTATCCCAGAATCATTTCGTTACCGAATTCTGAAAGACTTACACACAGGCATCTTAGGTATTGTAAAAATGAAAGGATTGGCCCGATCATTCGTGTACTGGCCTAGTATTAATGCCGACATAGAAAATATGGCATGTAGCTGTGAAAATTGTTCAAACACATAACCCTCCCGAATGTAAGAAACACCACTGGCATTATCCAAAAGGTCCATGGGAGAGAGTCCACATTGACTACGCAGGACAGGTAGCTGGCACAATGCTTCTAATAATCTCGGATGCATATAGCAAGTGGTTAGAAGTTAAACCAACTAATTCTACAACGTCTTCTGCAACTATTTCTATTTTAGACGAACTATTTGCAGCGTATGGTGTTCCGGTCACTCTCGTTTCGGATAACGGAACAAATTTTACATAAATTTTTTATTACAACTTTTTTGGAAAAAAATTACAACTTATAAAAACGAAGAAAAGTTTTCTTAAATTTCATTAATCACCGATTTCAAACGAATTTGCAATAAAAAGATGTTCAATACTTTTGTCATTTACGAAAAATACAAATTCATAAACTTTTCATTTAATTTTATGACAAAAAAGCACTTTTTAGGTTGGCAACATCAACACAACTGAAATTGGTTGTAATTCATAATACCAAAAAAAATTGAGTTGTTCTAAAGTTGTTTCAATTTCGACTCAACTGAGTTGAGTTGTAAAATATTATAGGGGCATAAATGAATTTTTTCGCCAGTACAGACGCTCACCTCATTCAACTACAGGACAATCGCCAGCAGAGCACTTTTCGGGCCGGTTCCCCCATTCACGTCTGGATTTGGTATTTCATAAACAATTTCTGAAGTCAACATTTTCTAATTTTCGTTCTTTTGATGCTGGGCAGAGAATTTGGTTCCTCTCAAACAATATCAAAATGTATAAGTGGTTATGTAGGGTGGTGAGTGAAAAATAGGAGACTTGCATGACTAAATTGAATTCCAAGGAAAAGTATATAAAAGATATATTGACCAAATAAAGATTCGCCAGCAAAAGAGACAAGAAGATTGCTCAAAGGAAAGAAATAATCAATGTAAACCAAACCAGAGATACATCAATATCCCAATACTAATACATAATACTAACACAATGTCAACAGAAGGTGAAACACAAAATCCAATTTCCCGTTCAACCCAAACACTCTACTCGAATACTGGAACGCCACAGCCGTTACCAAATATTCATGTACCGTCACCCTGTATTGTTCAAAGTTCATCACCACCTAATCCTCATAAAACGTCACCCTTAGATCGTCTGACACTACCAAAGCCATTGAATATTAGCACAACGCCTACTGCATCCCATGCTCAAATACGCCCGTCACCACCAGATGCGCCCAGTAGACCCACAACATCAACTACTCCTCAAACACTTAGAAGATCAACCAGGATCCGTAAACAACGATGAATATATTCCCCATAAACTACAGTGTTGCGCAGGAAGAAATG